AAGAGCCGTGTATTGCACCAGCGCCCATCTTTGGAAGTCTACCGCAACATGATCAGAACTGGTCAAATTCGCAACTGTCCCGTCAAGCTGGAGGACAACGAACGCGCCGAATTAATCTTCGGGAGCGACATGGGCAATGCCAAGGGCTCTACTACATGCAGACGCCCCCCACCAGTGACCGACAGTCTTCATACTGTACCGGATGAGCTGGTTGCACCACACAGGTTCTTGGCCGGATGCATGGATGTGTTCTATGTCTGTGAGATTGCCTTTCTACCATTCACTGACTTGCAAATCCGACACCGCTAATCAGCCTACCTGACCACCAGGAAAGGAAAATCATTCTAATCCGCCATTGACAAGATTTTAGATCGGTAAGGAAATAATGACTTCAAGATAAAAGAAATCCAGTGCGACATGGAGTTCAAGAGCCTGAAGGATCCTGTCAAGAACGAAATCGAGCTCAAGCTCAACCATAGAGCAGCTCAGACTCACAGTGTTCCCGCCGAGCGGAACATCCGGACCTTGAAGGAGCGCATACGTGCAGCCTGGCATTCAACCTCGTTCATGGTGATGCCAAGGTGATGATTGTGGAAATGGTGTACGATGTTAATTATAAACTCAACCTCTTCCCCCCGCTTGATGGAATCTCTAAAGTGTATCCTCCCAGGCAGATCTTGGAGTGTCGGACCACAAGCTACAAAGTAATTCAGTACACTTTTTGGAGCTATTGTCTCGCTTCCAACGAAACCAGACAAGCTCAATTCCATAGAGCCCCGGCGATTGGATTGCATCTATCTCCGCCCATTGATAGACAACCACCAAGGTGGACACAGTGTGATGGACCTCGTCACCTTGTAGGTGATCACGCGACAGCATGTTCGTATTCTGCCGATGCCTCGATCAGTCATTGATGCTGTCGAAAAGAAGGCCTACAGGTAGGGCAAAAACCACTAATCTTTCACAACCGTGACTTTGTGGATTTTTACCTGTAGGTTAGCCTGCAGGAGTGGATGGTGTCAATGGAAATGAGAGCTACCTCCAAGGCTATGGAGGCTCGTCGGACGAAGATTCGGTGGACTCCACGGAATCAGATGAGGATTCTGAGGATTGGAACGCCCCAGGGCTAGGAACAAGGGCATCCAAGCAGTATGCCACAGACATTGACTCCGATGGAGAAGGAGAAGAGGGATTCCAAAGAATCCCAACAAGCACAATTCCAGACAACCCTACAGTTGAAGAGACGGCACCAGCCGTGGATACCAATGATGGAAACCTCGCTGGGCCAGGCAAGGTTCCAAGCTTTCCCGAGTTGGAATTAGACTTTCAGCTCGGATTGCACCAGCCGAAGCAAAGAAAGGAGTAACCTTCGTCCAAGATGACGAACCGAAGCAACCACTACTGTAAGAGACAGAGACAAGCAAAACTCTAGCTTTGTCTTCATGGAACTCCTGTAACACAGGAGTGCCACACCAGAAGTCAAGGATGAGAGCAGTCATGCCCAACAACATCTTCTACCAAGGGTCTGAAGTGTGGGGCAACAAAGCCAGAAAGGCGGCGCTCAAAGAGAGTGACCAGCTACACAGCAGAGTGTGTTTCATTCCAGTCGACCCAAACGAATGCAGTGAATCTGAATTGAAAAAGGCACAAATGGCCATCATGTTTGTGAGTGAGAAAAAGGATGGCACGGTCAAGGCCGGTGCAGTCTACAATGGGACACCTACAAGGGTGTACCATCAGAAAGAAGATGCCAGAACCCCAACAGTTTCACTTGAGGGTTTGATTGTATCCATGTGTGTCGATGCATCCAAAGATAGGTATGTGATGTCCCTGGATGTTCCCAATGCGTTCATACAAACCCCAATGCCAAAAGTCAACAAGGTGAAGACAGGGTCCTCATGATCATTGAGGAACCCTTGCAGATTTCTTGTCGAAATTGATCCTGACACATAGCCTCTTTCCTAACATACAAAAAGGGACGTCCTTCCTCTATGTTATCGTGGAGAGAGCCATTTTGGCATGGTTTTGCAGCACTTCTTTGGTACAAGCTTTCAGAGTTACGCGATCGAGAAATGGATTCTGTGATTCAACCCAGTACGATCCTTGTGTGGCCAACCAGATGACCGAAGGCTACCAACAAAAAATTCGATTCCATGTTATGATTTGATGTCAAGCCACAGGAATGAAGTTGGTGAATGACCGGACTTTGAATGGTTCAATGGAAGGTATGGAACCTATGGAGCCAGTACAGGCAACCCGTGGTCCCAAGCATGACTTACTTGGGGATGACGGTGGACTTTGCCGATCGCAAGGCAAGGTAGACCATTGACATGATTGACTATCTTAAGAAGATGATCTAGGAGTTCCGGTGGACTTCGAGCAAATGAAGAAAGGTGTCCAGCGCGGCACCTGCTGATCTATTCAGTTCTGGTGATGGAGCTGCTTTGGACGACAAGACCAGAGAAATCTATCACAACAACGCAGCCAAGCTGTTGTTCGCGTGCAAGAGAGCAAAGACCAGATGTCCAAACACTGACAAATTGTATCTCTGTACACGTGTGAGGAACCCAACAGTTGATGACTGGGGCATAGTTGATTCAATGGATTGAAGTTCCTGGACCAAACAGTGGAGGACAAGTTGATATTCCACGTTGATGATATCGTGTCATCACTTGTGTGGGTGGATGCATCAATGTGCATCCATCCTGATTACCGTTCCCATACCGATAGGAGTCATGTCCTTTGGAGTGGCGCGGTGTGTCTGTGTTTGCGAAACAGAAATTGAATTCGAGGAGCGAGCACGGAAGCGGTAATTGAATGGAGCTGACGATGTATATCGCCCATGCTGTGGGCAAAGTTGTTTCCTTGAAGAGCAGGGGATATTTGTGAAGGACAACATCCTCGTGCAGGACAACAAAAGCAACGACATCTTGACAGAGAATGGCAAAGCAGTTCAGGAAAAGGACTCGGCTCATCAAACATTCTTTCTTTTTTATTCACGATCAGATTGGCAAAGGCAAACTCAGAGTGGTGTACTGCCCAACCTTGGAGATGCGTGGAGTTTTTTCACGAGCCCCTTCAGGCCAAGCTCTTCCACCGAGCACAGGGCTTTCATCATGGGGCAACACCCCTTGTTTGATGCTAATTTATTTAATTCGTTCCCACGGTAGCCACTTAGGCACCGTGCAGGAGTGTGTTGAGAGAAACATACCTGACACCTCTTGACTATTGACTGTGTATTAAACAATCTAGTCCGGTTGCATGCATATTCATGATGGAAGGAACCGAGGGAGTTTTAGGTCTAAAGTGTTACGGGGTCCTATATCCAAATTCAATCACAAAATTGCTATGCACACCAGAGAAAACCTCACTTTTGCTTTTCAGCTTAATCTAAAACCAAATTACTCCCAATAAGCTGCAGTATTACTAGCAAAACAACACTACGCACCATGTACACCCATCCATGGTGACTACTCCATCCCAACGAACAAGTTCAGCTGGATTTGTGCACTTGAAGTCATGACCATAACCATTGCCAAGCTCCAGTTCTCCCATGGCGTAAAGATTGGACCAACGCGCAACGTTGTGGTAAAATCCTTTCCTTGGATCACTTTGCACACCAGACTTCGTTGGATCACAAACAGGAAGAAGCAACTGGTAAAAGAAAAAAGCGTCAGGATAACCATTCACACCAACCATTCTTTCTTGATTGAGACCAAGACTTTCAAGCTTATCAACATCAAGACATCCCTTTCTTTCTTCTGGGAACATGTTGTCTTTCGTTGCTCCATTTCTGTAGCTTGGAAATGATTCCTCCTTGCCACCTTCCCAGCCGGAATAATGGAATTCATAGCCACCAATTTGTCGCTTTCCTGTTGCTTCATCCAAGGGACAAGGCGTCGCTCCTGTTGGAAGGGAATGATATGCATAAGTCTTCTTCTCCTTATTGGCCCCGGGCTTTCTGAATTTCGCAGTGTACACATATGGGGACCAACCACCCGGATTGTCAACTGAGTTGAAACTGGCTGGTTCACCCTTGTCAGTTTTTGCTTTGGGAATCTTCCAACCTTCCGGCGGACCAGGTGCCTTCCAACCTGGTGGTGCCCCATCAACAAAGGAAACTGGGGCATATGCAGGAATGGTATCTTCATTGGATGCAAGATAGTCCGTGTCATCTGGAAGTGCCGACAGATTTTCTTGTTGATGTTCATTTCTGTCATTGGAAACTTCCCGAAGGATGGAATTGTTTCCAGGACCTTCTCCCTCATCTTCCGATTCTGGATCCCCTGCATTCTCTCTGAAGCGAGCAGTGTCATATTCCTGTTCATATTGTACTGGATCGATCTCCGGTGCATCGGTTCCAGTGGAGCTTGTCTGCTGTGTTGACGGTGTTGATGTCATTTCAGAAACCGATCCAGAATGAGGCAATCGACGCATCGTCACATTGCGCATTGGTGTCCTCTGGCTACTACCATCAACAGTGCCATTGTTATTCTGTCTGGAAGCGTTGTTTCTAGTGGCAGCGGCGCTGTTTCCCTTCGAATTTGGCATCATTGTCTTGATCTTTTCCAGCGAAATGAAGAAAACAAGAAAATATGGTCAATCACGTTCAATCGTTACTGAAGGCTCTGTGCGCCAAGCAGCTATGATGTAGCCGCCTAACCGACAATGCTCACTCTTCGTGTCTGCAGACTAGAATAGAGCTAGGCAGCCATGAACATATGTATCGAGAGGGTAAAAGTGGTGCTAGAAGGCGCCTGTGTGGCCCCATACCTGGCGCTACGTATGTGCAAACATATTCCTACCAAAACCCTAAAACGGCTACGTTGTAGCCGATCTAGTGTGCGGCCCAGACTAAACGATACTCAACGAGACACCCGGAGTCTCACTGTTGGAGCCCACAAACATAAACTGAATGTGATGAGTGGAAATGAAATGGACGAGACTGCACAGGAGACATCATCACAGGATGATTCATGCTTGAATCTAGGAGAGGACAAAAATCACTCAGACATACTTCAATCTTCTACCTGTCCAGAGCAACTGGCAGTTCAAGATTTGGTGGTCAAGGTAGAAGGGCCGATTGGAGCTTCCTCACAAGGATTTGTGGACTACCCAATTCTGGTTTTGGTTGGGGCAGGGATTGGTGTGACTCGTAAGTGCCTGCTGCTCATTACACGATTCCTTCCTTCCCATTGCTTCTTATGAAGGATGATGGCTCATCATTCTTTGTTCCTCTTGTATCTATATTGGCTCCTTCACAAAAACACAGCCATGATTAGCGTTCTCAAAGAGTTATTGGTCAATCCAGGCAAGATGGAGAGAGTGTTCTTCTACTGGACAGTCCGCGATCGCAAGGCGTTTGAATGGTTTAGCAAGCTGATGGATGATGTCTATCAGCAGGACCAAAAGCATGTCCTGCAAGTCCGCCATTTTCTGACTTCTGTGAAGGATGATGATCGTGACATTGGAGCAATTCTGTTGCATCATGCCACTCGAGCTAAGCATAGGGCTAGTAACTTTGACTTGATCTTGGGTCAGCAGACACATCACCAAGTAGAAGTTGGACGACCTGATTGGGCCAAGGAACTCAAGAGTGTCCAGCAGGAAGCTTGTGACCTGGGGCAGCAAAGGTGCGGCATCTTTTTGTGTGGCCCTGAAAGAATGGCAGAAGGTATAGCCAAGGTGAGCAAACAGTATTCCACGAGGGAATTCAAGTTTCAATTCAACAAAGAGACATTCTAGGATGCTCTGTTCCTCGTCACTTATTGGGGGGTACGCAACACAAGCCCCACAACATCGCATCCGACTTCGTGAGATGATTTACCAGTAGTTTCTTCCATATTTCCGTTTTCATATTTGTGTACATTCAAGCTTCTTCTAAGCTCATGGTTATTTCGTGACTCCGTGACCACCTGGATAGTAGAGGTCAAAACATATTCCACTGTAGCTACTGCCCAATCAAAAGACATGCAAACTGTACTATGCGCTTCCCTTAGAATCAAACACCGAGAAGGGCGGCCACGAGGAAACTAGAAGCCAGACCTTGCGGACATTGTTCAAACCAAGGTAGAGCTACACAACCCTCTCGCTCTAGGCCGATGCACAACACCACACGAGGGCCGAAACATCATGACGGAAGGGGCTGACATACGAGTTCAAGCCTTCTCCCATTCCAATGCCCTTTTGAGCAATGATTTCAACCAGTAGGTCATGGTCGTGGCAGCGCTGGGCGCCTGAACAGAGCTCGAGCCCACGAAGGAATATATCGTACAAGTTGAAGTAACGGGGAATTCCTGGGTCCTCGGGAATCGCGGAGGCAGGATACTTTTCCAATGCAAACAAGTCAGTACCATACGTCGCCTTCGCAGCGTTCCCAGCTCCATTTGCTGCATCAACCGGATACGCAACACATACGTTGTTCCCGGTGATACTCTTGCTTACCATAGCTCCAGTGAGATCACTCCCAAGACCAATTCAAAGCCTGCAGCAAGAACGATTTACCGGTGGCATGCTGGGATTAGAATCCCTTGGTGTGCCTGATGTGGACGTGCAAGTCCTGTAGCCGTTGTGTAACATGGACAACATACGCCCTTCCTTTTCGATTCCCAGCTGCCTCTACAGATATGATGAGAAACCATCAAGAAGAATTCATGAAACAGGACGGGATCACGACGTTTCAAAACTATGGTTTTCGGAAGGCGGTATTCAATTGACTAATTTAGCTTTACGAAATCGTACGGAAGCAACTACTTTCGCAGCTGTCCCGATAGTAGCATGCATTGTGTGATCACAAAACAAGAAAACATTGGGTGGTTGATGCAACAAACAAAGGGATTTTTGGTGGAATTGAGACGCTTCTAGTGTTCTATCCACGCACTCGGAAGTGTGTTTATTTCGAACGCTTGTAGACCTTCTGCAAGAACATTTCAAACACTTCCCACGGAACACCGGCCTTGGCCAAGACAGCACCTTCCTTGGAACCCTTCATGCTCATGATTTTATCATACGATGCCTGTTCGTATTCCGCATACAACTGAGGCAATCCCAAGTCAGCGTAGAGCTTCTTGATTGCTTTTTCTTCGTCACTGCCGACCTTGCAGTTTCCGTAGTGCTTGTCTAGGAATGCCTTTTGGTCGTCATTGGCGAGCTGATGGTATGCTTTGGTGAAAAGCCATCCGCATTTCTTGTCGGCAATATCGGTTCCAATTTTTCCAATTTGTTCAGGAGTACCAAAGCAGTCCAGATAATCGTCTTGAGCTTGGAAGTACACTCCCATGGTGACAAGAATCTCTCTGGCGGCATCAAAAGCAGCCTTGTCCTTGATATTGCAAAATGTCATGGCAAAGGCGACGGACAAATAGAAACTGTAGAAACTGGTCTTGTAGGTCACAATCAATTCCCATCGTTCCGGAGTCAAATCTTTCAAACCGAGAACATCGCAGAGCGTGTCACTGAGCTGTCCCATTTCAGTCTGAAGAGTGGATTCCAACATGAGGTCCATGAGTTGAATGTACTGAGGATGAGTCATAAAATGGCGTTTCATCATTTTGTAGACAAATGCCTCAATGGTAAATGCATCATTAATGGCAATGTACCAGATTTGCTCCAGTTTCTTGTACCAACAGGGTTGGCCACGTCGCGTGACGGAAGAATCCATAATATCGTCGGCTACCAACAACCACGCCTGGAGCCATTCAATGGCCCATCCGAGGACTGCCAATTGGCTGAGCTCCTCGTTGGTGGGAGTTTTCCCCTGTGATGCCAAAATAGCCACACCGGCATCTACTACCATGAGACCACGGTTCATCTTTCCTCCCTTAACATTGTATTCCAACATATCCTTGACCCACTGAGTTTCCTTGGCAGGCAAGTCGTATTTTACGGGCAATTCTGCGCAAATTTCGTCAATGAGCATGTCGCAAACGGCCATGAAGGAACCCTTGGGATCTCCGGTGTAATTGTACTTGGGGTACGCAATGGCGGGAGTGGCATTCTTGGTACCTTGGGTAGCAGGGAAGCTAGGAGGTTGTTTTTTGCGCATAAAGGCGGCAGTGAAGAGACCACCCACAGCAAAGGCACCGGCCGCAATCACGGACACGGACGCATTGGACATTCCATTGGCACTCATGGTTGGAAGCTTGGGGATATAAGGATTCTCCCACTCGAATTTTTTGTCTTTGAGTAAAGATTTGAATCCGGCGTCAGTTGCACCAGGAGCGCTAGCACTAACAACTGCCGATGTTACAAAGAAAAAACGGAGATAATAGCACAAGGAACGGTTGCTCAACGATACAGATACCATTGAGAAAGTGGGGTTGGCAGACCGGGCAAAAGGGCTGCACAAAAAAAGGAACTCGAAAGATCTCGGAGGTTGCGGGGCGAGGCCAGCAAGCAAAAAAATGACGATGAGAGCCAACGTCGCCAGTCCGATCGAGGGACAGAGTACTCTCGGCGTCAGTCTGATGACTGTCTGATGGAGGCGATTGCCATACAAAGAAAGACAATGTTTCGCCTGCGCATCCCTTGCATCAGCAACCCTCCCGGAAAACTGATCGAAGCCGGATCCAAGAGAGTTCAATGACGTCATACGACACGTACCCCCTTTGTTTTGGGTTCCGATGCAAAAAGGTATCCGTGAATAGCTTTGTCAGGACTGATTTAATCAGTGGATGCATTGCATCTCCGCTGGCTAACAAACCACTTAGCTTTGGTGCCGAAGATCAAGGTTTGTTCGTTTGACCATGAACACAATGCATCGAAGCAGCACACCGTTGGGAACCGGCTCGTGATGGATTCATCGTCAACTCGCTTACTTCACAGCCAGCGCTCTGGCTTAATCAGGTTCACATGTGAGTTGTTGCAGCATTGTGTCTCTGGCCAGATGTAACAACCCCCGTGCCCAGGTGGTCCCAGATTGTCGTCAGGGCAACTGGAAGCCATTTGAAAAGAGGCACAAGAGAGAGAGAGTCTAAGATAGCCACACAACGCACAACTTCATTCCTTCCATCGGAAACGGGTACAGCTTGCTCGCCAGCTGACTAAATCGAGGCATTCTATCTATCTCCAGTACCGGTAGCACCAGCATGCAAAGGTGGCCTCATGCCCTGCTCGGCGCCTAAAATAGTTGCTGTCGCTAAATGAAAGCGGTCAAGAGAAATAAAAGAATGCAGTAGCTATCGTATTTTTATCATTAAAGAAAGCATGGATCTACAATGGCCGCCTTCAGCGTTTCCTTGTAGATTTGATTTGCGTTCAGGGAGTCCTTGGCAGCACTCACTACGCTGCAATGAGTATCCTGTTTGCTCAGTTGTAGCGAAAGTTGTCTCAAGCCTTGACAACAGGGAATGCCTGTGGTTCGGTTATCTTCTTGCAATTCCAGGACAAGTTGGATTTTCATCTTCCTTTCCATCCTTCTGATCTTGTCGGCCATGTACTCAAGTCCCCTCCAGGATTCCTGGCATTCATCCACAGCAATCTTGCCCTTGATAGTGTGCCGAATAGTCTGGCGAATAAACTTGAATTCCTCTCTGGTATACCATCGGCACCGCTTTGCCTCCCCACAGGACGAACTCTTGGCACTTGCCACCCCCACGGAAACATCCCCAAAGCGCACACGCTTCTTCCTTGCTGATCGTGGTTGAACATGCGCTCCAAGTGGCGCTACCGATGCATCGAAAAATGCGGCGTTGTTGTAGTTTGTAATCATACACATTGCGACGAGTAAATAGCAATGCGAGGTAAGATGATGCAAAATTGTGAGAAGAGTGAGCGGCAGAGGCGATTTTGAGATTGTGAGCAAAAGATCTGGACAGAGCCACAGCACGATCCCGCTTGTAAATTCCACATACATGTAATCATGACGAAAAGAGGTTTCATTATGTCAAGAAGATCAGCTGGAGATCTAGGGTCTAGCCCTCACAAAGAATAACGCTCATTGAATGATTTAACAACGAGCATGCCTTCAAGTCTCCCTGTTAACTAGCTGGTACGCACCCACTAGTTCTAAACGGGATGAATAATTACCCAGGATGTCCATAATCAAACCAGTCCTCATCAAGCATTATGAAGCAGAGCCAAAGAAGAGTGACGAAGAGCAGAAGAAGTCACAATCCACAGTCCCACATTCAAGTTTCACAGTACTGGTACCAAGTACAGTTAGCTGTAGGCAAGCCCCACTAGTTCCAGAAAATCGCCCAAGCAGTGATGACTCCCATAGCTTTCCCAAACCAAAAATTTCCAGAGAGCCAGAGAGTCCACCCAGTCCTATTAGACTAGTAGTAGCTCCGTAGCTTCTATTCGAGCGTTATGAAGAAGTACCGGTTCTGGCATTGAGGAGCTTATTGAGGTCCATCCCCTGTTGTTCCGGGAGCAAAGATACTAATTCTCTGGACTTTAGCTAGCTAGCCAGTGAAGACTGTTCAACGTTTCAGTGAAGTGGTGAAGCAGTCTGACTGTGCCGGCTAGAACCGGTACTGTAGTGCGTACAGCGCTCAGCACCCTTAGCTGCACCCTTCAACTTGCATTTTAGCGATGAAATAATGTCCGTACTCTATTGTTTACTGTTCCAAGTAAGTCTTCGTGTTTCTTGGCTGTTTTCTGGCATGCATCGATCACTCCCATGTTCCACTCCTCGCATGTTCTTCTTGTGCTCGCTGCTTCTTTGAGCAAGTTCAGAGCATCCGTGATGTTCGAAATACAACAGCTGATAAGACCACTTTCGAAACTGGATGTTTGACGCCCAGCCAGATCGGTGCCATCCAGAGCTCCCGATGGCTGCTTCAACGGTCAACGATGGCTGGCTGCTGAATATCATCACTACTTGCTTGCTGCGCCGGGGTCCCATCAGCCAGCCCCCAGCACTACCAGGTAGCTAGCCAGGCGGTGTCGTTTCATTTCTTGGCTGCTTCGCTCTTCTTGCACGCTACTCTTGCAGTCAACTTGGAAGAACAGGCGCAGAACAAGCACCTGGGAGTATTGTATCTAAAATAAGGCACCTACTAGCTGGCACAAAGAACAGCAATCACATCAAATGTTTACCAGCCAACCATTCAAAGAGGGTTCGATCGTCTCTTCAGCGGTTGTAGAGTCCAAAGACTTTCGTATCATCCTGTCTTGTGGCTTATGGCTTCAGCCCTTCAGCCATGCATGGCTGGTGGGCAGTCAACAAGAAATTGTTTGGCATTGCGAGCGGATCGGCTCGAAAGCGAAGCTACTTGAGCACGAGCTGCTCTAATGTTTCTACTTCACACGGAGCATGTGCAGCGCTTGGCCACAGGTGGCCAATCCAACAGGGACACGTGCACACACTGCGACAACCCTTTGGGGGGATGTGTTTGCATCCTTTCAGGGCGTCGAACTTTGGCTGACTTTCTCGATGATTACTGGCCAGCTCGCCAGGGCATCTTGTGCCAGATTCTATGCGTTCAGTGGTTGGAAGTTATGGCAGTTGTTCGAAGTTCTGGTACAAGCCAGCTTACCTGCGACCAACGAAGTGTGTGTTTCCACTGAGAGTGGCCTTCTCTCAGCAAGCCACATTCTCTCTGCCAAAAAAGCAGCAAGCAACGTCAGTCTGTCTGATAACACAGGCCTTCAACAACAAAGTGACGTGCCAGCCCCAGCTCCCGCTCACGGCAACGATCCGATGGCTGGCAGATGGGAGCACTCGACCCTGCGTCGCGCCGAAATCAGGTTTCTGTGGGCTTCTCTGTGAGAGAAATAGCTGCTCCCTGCCGGTAGCGTTGGGTCGCCGCCAACCTCCACCGGTTTCCGTCAGCTAGTATTGGTCCAGAGCGGCGGAGCGGCATTGCTTCAGTCTTCTTCCTACATGTAGCTAGCGCATTGGACGAAGCAGATAACTCAGTGAATAAAAGCTTGTGATTTTGGCAACCAAAACTAAGTCGAGGAAAGGGACAGTAATTCATTATCATCCAAGACCATCAAAAACTAAGAAATCGGAACAGATAGTATTCACGTTGAGCTTGGTCTACTCTTTGCAGGTGGTAGATTGTTATGACTGAGCTCGTGTTGTTGGTGGTCAGAACACAGCATTCACAACGCAAGCTTTCTAAGAGCCTGTCCAGACGGGGTACGCCAGCACGCCACATTCAACGTTCGAAGGCGAAGTTTGGACCTTCTTTTACCAGTCAAAATCTGAAATGGGACTTGACCACGAACCCCCTGGACAACTTCCATATCGAAGTTGCCCAAGCCAATCCAAGTGAAGTTTTAGTCTTATTATATCAGTCCCTATCGTCTTTGGGTCAATCTTGGGCCAATTCGAGATCTTGGAAGAAGAAAACATCGCCAATCCAAGAAATCGCCATGGCACAACGACTAGATCAACCATGTGCTACATGATCGGCAACAATAGATTAACACAGTAGCTTAAAGTAGATATATAGATTGAACTATTGCTGTATGGAGATGTAGATAGATCGCTCGCTTGTTGTGTTGTGGTGGAGCAAATTGCTTGCAGAATTCGCCATTTCCTCTGTTGTTGTTGTTGTTGTTGTTGTAATCTTTCACCATGAGCAAGCGACCGGCTTCTGAATACCCTGCACTCCCTTCCCAGCTCACAAGGCAATCTTCCAGTGACAGTAGTGAAGAGGAAGCAGCACCAGAATCATCTGTTGGGCAACCATGGGCGAAATCCACCACTTTGCAGCCTCCAGCAGAAAAAAACGACGTTCCTCGCAGAATGGACTTCCAACCACCTGAACCACCGCCAGCGTCACCAGCCACATTCAAGACAGCCAAGGAGACACTCAGTGCATGCAAGCAGGATCAGAAGAAGGCTCTCATGCTCTGCATGTGTCTTGGAATCATGAGTGAGGACGGAACTCGGTGGTTGGGTGACTTGACTGTAGAGCCTTATTGCAAACTGTCCACTTCGAAACTTGGGAAACTGTCTCGAACCAAACCCATGATGTCTGCAGAAGTCACTAGGCGAGCCATTGAGCGTAACGTGACAAAGGCATTCCCCCGCCCCAAGAATTGGAGGAACGAAACCCTCGAAAAACATCTGAAAGTGAATCCCATCGTCACCCAAGAGGACATCACCTTCCTTCGCTCACAGGAGAACGCATTATTCCATGCCTGTGAAAACATGATAGTGGAATCTGCCCAACAGGAAGCTGCAGAGGCAAAGCAGAGCGCTTATCGCTGGAATGACTCTGATCCACGGCCATTTTATCGAATGTACTTGGCTGCCGAAGATGATCAAGTGAAAGCAGCAATGGTAGAGGATGGCAAGTGTTTGTCTAAGGCAAAACTGGATGGTCGCAACAGTGAGGATGTGCCAATTACTTTCTTTGCTGCGTTAACTGACAAATGGAACAGCGACTGGGTAGCCAGGACACCGGTCCTACCAAACCTCCACGGAGACTTCGAAGAAGAGATTGTGATTGGACCAGACGATGTGAAACAAGCTGCCACCACCGAGTACATCACCAAGAAATGGAAGAATGACAAGATGCTGCTTGCCAGATTGGTTAGTCGCTATGAAGGATCTGGTCATGGCTTTGGCATGATTGATGGACGTCCCGTCTTCGGGCATATGACAGAGGAGGCACTTCAAGCAGACGATCGAAAGGACTATCTATGGGAGCAGTTCTCTGAGAAGCCTCGGCATCTCTTACTGTGGCATCTTTCTGATCAATTCGGTATCCTAAATCATGTCATTACAAGAATGTCTCAAGCTACCTCCGCCACTGGTGAAGATGTTGCGACCAGTACAAGCAAGACCAAGAAGCAAAGAACCAAGCAGAAGCAGAAGCAGAAGAAGAAGGCAAAGAGAAAGAAGACGTCCGACGAAAGCAGCAGCGATAGTGACCAAGATGCTGCCTCTAAGTTTCGATCTTCCCTTGCAGAGTCCCAACAAGAGCAGGCGTACCAGTCAGCAATGGAGAACCTACAGACTGCTACTACTCGCTTGACAAATGACAGATTGGATCTCATGCGTCACAAGCGACACAACCCCGATGACGATGAGAGTGAATTGCTTCTAGCAGAACAAGTCCGGCTTCAAACAGACATTGTTACAAGATTGCATGCAAGAGTCGAGGCATTGGACAAGAAAAAGAACAAGAAGTCGTCCTAGTTTATCTGATTGGTGGTCTCTTGTACATACCATCCGCCACTATCTTATGCAATATTTCCTGTGGCAATATTCCTTGTTCTGCATCCTTTTGACTTCTTCTTTCCTCCCGTCGCAAATGACTTCTATCCACATCATCGAAGTGTTCACCACCACCCAAGAGTTCTGTCGGTGATCGACTATCCACAACAACACCACCACGAACCTCGATCTCAAACTCATCTGTTGCCAATGTATCAAGTTGGTAGTCTTCTTCTTCTTCATCATTATCTTCCAACACCTCCCTTCCAAGTCGCCTATCAATGCAGAAATTATGCAAGCGGCAAAGGCAAATGGCAAGTGCAGTGATCTTTGCCAATCCCATTGTTGCTGACAAAGCTCTGCGCAGAATACCCCATCGATTTACCAGCATTCCAAAGGCACACTCTATCTTGATCCGCAGTTGGGAGTGGTAAAAGTTGAAGTCATCTTGTGTTCCTCTTGGTGACTTATACGGTGTTGTCATGTAAGTGTTGTTCACGTATGCACAGTCCCCAAAGAGGCACAATCCTGGAGCTAACAGCTTGTCTTCTAACAGATAATACAGAGGACTGGTGACAAAGGCGAGATAGTCAGAGCAGGAAGCTGGATTCTGCACGCACACATCCGTGAAGCGTCCCTCATGATCACAGACAGCTTGTAAGTTCAATCCAAACCTCTTTTTCCTTCCACAAAAGAAGCGCTTCTGTTCCGTGGCTGCTATCTCGCAATCAGCCAAGTGTGGCCTTTCTGTCCAGAGCAGCATGCAGTCAATGGCACCTGCACAACAAGAGAAGTCTGGCTGACTCTTTTCTTTGAAGCCTCTCGCGATTGCTTTTTGTCTGTTGTGTTCTCTGGGGAAGCGAATGGAGAGCTCTGGTGCCTTGCACTCATTACAAGCATCGACCACCATCCAGACACGGACAAAGACAGATGAGTGAGAGATCCCATGCATGACCGATATGTCATAGGAAGAACCACCAGCAAAGTATCTAAGTGCTACACTGAGGCGAATGGAACTCGAGATCTTCCCATTGACTGCTCCTATCTTCTGATGTTCCTTTGTTCCAGGAGCTGTGTTGGTCTTGCGAGTTGTCTTGGCATTGAGGTAAGGTTTCAATAAGTGATGCAGTGCCCAAAAGTCGTCTTCTGTCATTCGAAAGGCTCTCTTTACATACCCTGGACCCATCTCACGAAAGATACTGTGAACCAACCTTCTTTTACGTGGTATAGGAGGTGTATCATGTCTACCAGGACCATCCTCTTGAAGACCGAAGAGTCCAGGATCTGCTTCCAGAAGTGTTGCCGTGAAGCTGGCTAACATCCGAAGCCTTTTGACGATTCGAGAGCCATTGCCCCTACTAGCTTCTACTATCGTTGGCTGGAGAAGCAACGAGATAACAAAAAGCAACAACAAGAGGTACATTGCATTGACTGCTATTTTATGGTCTATTATCCTCAACAAGAGCCATGGCATTGACTATCAACAGAGGAGACTCCATCTATTCAGACTCCCACGAGTTTTATCAACTCCCACTTGGAAACGTTGCCTCAAAACTTGGATTGGAGGGTGCACGCAGTGTGGAGAGGGTAGCGAACTTAACCCATTAACTCAGGTTTTGTGGCAACCACGTCAACTTGGATTCGAAGTTTCCTTGATACCCCGTCTGGACACACTCTAAAGAAGCCGACAGCAACCAAGGAAAAGGTACCAGCGACCGGCGGTACCGGTACCGGTTCAACTATGGTGTGCATACATCATGTACTTACATCATGTACATACATACCGGTACGTGTGAGCTCGTGTGATAGCAAGAATTCAGAACTTTATCAAGTCAAACGATAACGATTGACGATTCAAGTTGAAGTAAGTTTACTAAGTTAGTCATTTGCGAAACAGGAGAACTGTGAGTCCAGCACAGAATGTCATAATGAGTGACGGAACCGCCTTAATAATTTACAGTCCATGTAATTGACTTCTCAGTTGCCATACGTAACTATTTAATTAATACTGAGTACTGAGTAATAATAGTACAGCTATTACCGGTACTCTTAATTATCAGTCAATGACCTTTGCATGGTCCTGAGGTAAAGCCTTAGTATTTTAAAATACATGATCTCATACAACATGTACTGTAACAATTCTCCATGGCAGGAGTTCATCGAGCCCGAAAGGAGCAATTGCCTTCTAAGAACTCTTCTAAGCCTTTAAGTCCTCTTGCTTGTCTCGTGAGTTGCGCCCCATAAAGGAGCCAAGAGGCCTTATTGCGCTGTCTGAGTACTAGCTAGTACTGGTACTGAGGTTCGTGGTCATCGTGGTTCCCAATTCCCAAATAGAATTGGCGACCCACAGAACAAACCTGATTTGGGGAGTACTGCTGCACCGGTACATCTTGTAAAACAATGTCCGAAAAAAAACTCCTAGCTAGAGTAGCAGGCAGCTACTAGTAGCTAGCAAAGCTAAAGGTATAACTACAATCTATGAGAAGGGTGGTGGCTGAGGTGCATTTGATACACAGAATGGTTGAGAGTGGAGCCAGTAATACGAATCTAGCAAAGAGGTAGTCTCACTGTTTCGAAGTTCCTGACCTAAGTTTGTACTCAAGAGGAGATACAAGTGGAAAGCAACCAATCTGAGGTCGACTTTTAAAAATACTGAATCAAGGCACCATGAATAAGAAAGATGATGAAACTCAATTCTCCATTCAACCCAAGAGTGAGGATG